GGTCACACAGCCTGGCAGTGGTAGAGGCAGCTCCAAAACCCATTAAAATATGAGCCCTGCCCTATCTTCTCTCCCTGACCCCATACCACCTGTTACCACATGAATCAAGCCAAAGGCCACAAGCTCAGGGTCAGTGATTTTATTAATTGTCATATGTACTGCAAGCACAGAAGAATGTATATCTATGAACAACAGTCACTTGTATCCCAACCATCAAATGTTATCTACCTGTGCCTTGAAATCTTCCTCTGTCACCCCCCCACACACACTCACAGCTGTAACATCCTCCCCCACACTATTTCCCGAACTCACCACTATCCACACTTTTGTGTTAATCATTCTCTTGCTTTGCTTTCTGTTTGTGCCGCTTTCATGTGTCTCCCTAACAATGCACCGCCCTTTGCTTACACAGCTAGGTTTGTGCTTTTTGCTCTGTTTTTCAGAACTAAAGAGGATCTATGATCTTCTCAATGCGTAACACTGTGATATTCAAGTTTTTCCAGTGCCGTGAACTCTGAGCAGACGCCTATTAGAAAACCAGGCCAGAAAAACATGCAGAGTCCTCCTACTAGATATCACCAGCTTGCTTCTAAAAGCCACTATACTTTAGGTACTGAATTAATAGTGTACAAATGGCATGTGCAATAATGTAGAATTAGCATATGTCTTGAATTTTTTTTTCAGAAAGGGATTGTGCATGTGTGTGAAAAAGCCAACTGCTCAAACCCTTTCTGACAGAGCTGTTTCAGTCCCAGTAGTCCGACATCTGGGATCCACCCTCATGTCTGGAGGCAAAAAAGAGGGCTCCGGAGGGTGTGAGAAGAAACAGGCTCAGAAAGGTCCCCCAGGCTCCTCCCCCTCCTCTCTTCCCTCTGGACAGCCCTCACCACGGTGGCTTTGGCCCACAGCTGCCCTAGCCCAGGGATGGTGGCAGACAGAAGCAGACCTACTTTGGTTTCCATGGCAACTGCAGGCATCGGGAGGCCAACCGAGTGAGCTGCAGCCAACAAGGCAGCTGGTTTGAAGGGTGTTGATCTCTCTGTGGATGAGCAAGGCAGACCACCAGGGACCTGTGGCAACAGCCAAGCCAGGAACAGCCACAAGAGCTGGGCATGCAAAGTCCACTGGACCTGGCTGCACATCTTACCCACTCACCTGTTACCTCTTTCATGCACCCACCATGACAGAGGCACATATTGAACAATGCCCTTCCACACTTGGTTGTGAACATGCATTCGTTCACACCAGACACACCCCAGATTTATATCTAGACCTATTTTCACATACAGAAATACAAATCCCTGCAAATAAATGCTCATTCACACTCAATGTATAAGGTTTACACCCAGAAAACTCTACATTCGCCAAATGCACACGCTCTTTTAGACACACCCACACACAGAGACACTACACAGGTGGTGCACATGAGAGGCTAACCTTATCCACACACAAATCTGTGTTTACCAGAGAAGTGCATCTCATCGTCACCTGTGACTCCCCAGGACACCCCCAGACACATACGAACAGATGCAGAACACAGCCTCTGAATGCTACTCCTCGAAGCTGAAGAGCCCAAGCTTGCAGAAACAGCTCAGGAGCCAGATGGTTGTTCCACTCAGTGCTACGGCCCAATCACAAATCCAGCAACAACTTTCCTGGCTTGTCGCCTATGGGCCATGCCCACCAAGGAAGTAGGCCTTTAACTTTCTCTGCCTGCATACTTAGAGTTCTTTTTCATGTCCTCCATAAATGCTAAAAGGACAAAAGTCCAGTAGTCCTTGTCATGTCATTTGGACTTGATATTTAAAATTCTGATGATAGATTCACACAGCCACATACAGCCACGCACTCCTCTTTAAGACGTCCAGTGCTGTCCCACACTCCCCAGGCATACTCCTGTATGTCCACTGTCCACTGTCCCGCAATACAAGGACAAGCAGCCCGCTGCTTCCCACTCTGGCAGAAGGGGCCAAAGCACAGAGCATGACATATCTAGCTAGGCCTCAGGTCAGCTCCTGACCTGATGAGGACACCTGACTGCTACAGGCTCCCTCCACGGAGGAAATAGAGAACTAAAGGTCACCAAGCACTTTGGGGAGACATTTCATTCATTTCATTGGGAATCTCTTGAAGTACATTTGAAGATTAATGACGTTGTTTCAATATTGTCCTAATTGTAACTTGTTAATTAATGACAGAAATTGAAAGATGAATGTAGTATGCACATGTGTCTCCAGGCCGGTTATAATATTAATGAGAGTTAATACTTTCTGGATGCAAAAGGTCAACACATGTCAGCCACTGTTATTTTTGTACTTTCACGTTAATAATGAAAATAATCTAGAATTTAAAATTAGGAGGTTGTTGAGATGAACATCCTTTATCCCCTAGGGTATAATTTATTACCCACTTTTCAGTTTTAGCAGTATTAGCATTGTGAAATACTTGACAAAATGATTTCATATAGGCCACCTCATTTGAGCGTCTCCTGCATGCTTCCACATGTTAGGGGAAGGGCAGGTCACAGATTAGTGTCCATGCTCTGAAAAGCCACAACCCAGAGAGGAAGTCCTGGGGAGCAGCATTGCAACTGAGTACCACCTGCCCAGGATCCACACACAGAGAGCCCTGAAGACCAGGAAAGGAGTCATTCATTGATGGAGAGGAATTCATTGGTTGATTTGGAAAAAAAAAAAAAAACTTTCAATGAAAAAAAAAAAAAAAAACTTTCAAGGTGGAAGCCACATTTGAGCAAGGCCTAAAAGTCTAAGTAGACTTAGTCTAGCCAATTTCAAGGCTGGAAAAGGGTACTGAGTTTGGGGGCCCTGGGCAGACCAGAAGGGCGGGTCAGCTGTGCATTTGAGGGTGGGAGCAGGGAGGAGCAGGAAGAGATGGAGCCAGGAACGTAGACTGAGGCCAGGTTTGAAAGCCCTTGCACCACAAGCCAAGAAGTTTGGCCCCAGAGATTGGCCAGATATGTAAACATCAGGACAGCGTCTTAGGTAGCCCAGGAACCTCGGGCCAAACAGGAGAGTTAAGATTGCGCCCTTGCAGGAACAGAGCCAGAGCCCTGGTCTAACTCCCTACATCTAGCTGGGGCCTGACCCACACAGGCTCTCCATAAATGTTTCCAGAACAAATGGCACAGCGGGGCCATGCGAGCAAAATGAAATTAAGAGTCGGGTGACCCCAAGGGCTAGTTCAGGCCAACTATTGATGTGCCAGGACCTTAGGCCGGAGATATAACCTCTCCGGTTCTCGATTTCTACGCTGGTAAAACGAATCCGATAATGCCCTGACCTCCCTCGCTTAGCCTTGCGAGCCAGGGAGTAGGCTGAAGGCACAGGAAAGGCGCCAGTCAAGACACAGAACCACGCACCGCGGGCTCCGATGCCTGCACGTGCTGGGGACTTCCTAGCTCCGAGACCATATGCAAGGAGAGCTGGCGAAGCCATCAACAATTACCTGCGCCACACACCCGACACCTGCTCTCCGTTTCTGCACAAGCAGATGGTGCGATCTAGCCCCGTGGCCCCGCCCGGCGGCCGCCTTGTGGAAATAGCATAGGCAATGCGATGTGAGCCAGTGCTTAGACCGGTCCAGGAGAGGGTGCGCCTGCTGCAGCTCTGAAGCCTCAGGGCGGGGAGGGTAAAGCCGGGAGGACGCTGTTCCCAGCAGTCATGGGCTACGTTTCTCTTCCTGGAACTGTACAGGAAAGACATTGACTCCCTGCTTTCCACATGGAGAAACTGGGGCTCAGGGACATTAAGTGACTTGCAGATGGACATGTGTTAAAAGAGCCAGAAGGAAATCCAAGTCTTCTCAATTACAAAGTCACTTTTTGTCCGTTTCTTGGAGCCACTGTGGTTCCAAGACCACTTTGGTAGCGATAGGTAAAGAAATAGAATTCTTCCTTCACAGGCATTAACTCTGTCCCCTCCCACCTCAATGGCCATGCCACCCTCCCACACGCTGTGCCCCTCCCACACAAGAAAGGTTGGTGAGGATCTAAGCCAAGCATAAATCAGGATTCAATCATGAAATACACACAGCGAACACCTCTGACCCCCGTTTAGCTACCCAACTCTTCGTGCGTGCCCTCTCCAGGAGGGATGGAGAGCTGGCTCTGCTGCTCAGGGAGGGAAATCTGGTATAAATGCCACCTGTGGGCAAGGTTGCTATTTCCTTTGCCTAACACTGGTGATTAGAGAATTCTGGCTTCTCATCAGCCAACATCCATCATCCCCCTTAAGGACCCTGTTGTCCCTGTTGGAGCCACACGGAGCAAGTCTGATTTCCCTGTCTTTTCACATTCCAGCCTGTGTTAGGAGACAGCATGTGCTCTTCCTGAGGGGTCCAGTTCCCTCCAGCATGCCTCAGAAATCCTCCTGTGAGTTCTCTTCTGTCCGGTCACATGCTTCTGAACTCAACACAACCCTGAGTTCTTCCTCCATGTCAGATAGTGAAAGGCCCTCCCTCCTCACCTCATTTCCTCCCTAAAACCACCTCCTTAGTCCCATTTCTAGAAGAAGAAGCTGGGTAGTGAAGGAAGGGAACAGACGGGGACCACTACCACAGAGACAGAGGACAGATGAACTCTCAAGTCACAACCCATAACCTGTAACCTGCTGAAAGTATGCCAGCCTTTCTCTCTTTTGACAATGAATCAAACCTCCAACTCTTCAGACAAACCTTGAAGACCAGATGCACCATTAAAGCCAGTGTGCCCCCAGAGGACAAACTGACCTCTGATACATGTCTTACACAAGGAAAAAAAATCTTTCAAATACCACACAGAGACCTAGCTCACTCCAGCAACTGGATAAAAAGTTTGCCTTTTTTTTTTTTTTTTTTTTTTTTT